TTGGCCCCCCCCCCCCTCAGATCTCGAGAACCACGCAACATAGCGACAAGCGGTAAACGGTGTTGGATAGCCCCAACGGGGAACTACCTTGTGACCCAATTTCATTGACCTCGGTCAAACCGATGACGTCACAGGTCAGGTCAAAGGTCAAATTTTCACCGTTTACAGGCATTTCAAGAAATGCGTTGTAAAATCGTGCAAAATGCATTTCATTGAAAATCATCGATGGGGAAATGTTCTTCAAACACATATTTTGCTATTTGAGGTCACTGATACCAGGTCAGGTCACAGAGGTCAGGTCACTGGGGGGTCACAATATGAAAGTGTCGTGTGATACATGTTTTATGGTCCATTTTACATGACAAATGCGATTATGTGGGTCAGACAGACTTTAGGGCCAGCTTAGGTCACGTTTTGGTCAAGGTCAGGTCAAGGTCAGGTCAAGGTCAGGTCAAATTAGGTCAAATTTCAAAGTTGATATTTTTGCATAAAATGGGTATCGATTCGATGCAGCTCGTCACGGGGAGTTCAATGGTGGTCTCCGTTTTGCGCTACGAGGTCTAGAATTGCTAAAAATTGAGTTCAAAAATTTGACGTCATCAATTTTTAACAGTTTTTTTCGCTATAACTTGGCCAAAAAAGAGGTATCGATCTAAAATTTGGTATGTATATCGAAGAGCGCAGGGACTATCACATATATTCCGGTTTTTTCGAAATTCGAAAAAAAATTTGGAAATTTTTTGAGTTTTTCTAAAAAAATCAATTTTTTTGATTTTTGGGGGTCAAAATCCAAAATTTTGGAAAATCCGAGATAGCAGTTTTGTAGCGCCGTCTTTTCTCTACACAACCACATAAAGAACTTTAAAATTGCTTGTCAACTGTAGAATTGGTGAGCGTTTCAAGATGTCATGTTTTTTGCTCTTTTTTACTCGAACATGACCTCAGTTTGACCTCAATAACTCCTGACCTGAGGTGACCTGTGACTTGAAATTTTGTGTGAAGGTGTCAAATTGATGTGCGGTAAGGTACCCAAAATTTGGCGGCGCTGCGCGCCGCCGTTTTTTCGCTATTTAAGAAAAACCACAGGGGGGGCAAAATGGCCCCCCCATCAGGGCGCGGGTTAAAAGAAAACGTCATTTTATTAGTAAAGTCAACAGCTCGCATAAGAAATATTGTGTTCAGGGTTTTCACCGTCATGTGAATTACGTGTTCAGGGTTTTCACCATCATGTGGATTAACCGCAAGTAAGGTTCATGCTCACTTATAATCTAATTCCATTGGCTTCGTTGATCAGCGTTTTCTGTTAGCGGTCATTCACACACCAGTTAGAACATAAAGCGCCAGTTTTATATTATGTAATTGGACTTCCCGAAAATCCAGAAATACATGTAAGAGGTATTTTAGGTAATATTTTATTAAGCCTTTACCTGCCTTTACCTAGGCATGATTTCTTTTTCTATTACCTGAAAGAATTATTGAACGCTCATCTTCAATAGCTGTAAGGTGCTCTCCTAATGACCAGGTGAGATTGATTTGAGAGGGATGTAACAATGCAACATGTTGCATTTTCTGAAACTGTCAAGCTCTTGATGATGAAGGAACAATTGGTACCTATAATTAGTATTCTGTACCAGAGTGCAAACTCCCCTACAGCAAATGGTAAAACCATTACAGGTTTTCAAAGGTTTCACCACTTTCAATGTTGCTGGGCATCCTTTGCATGATTTTTACAGGCTAGACTGCTTATCAGAATGTAAGATTAAGGATTAAAAATTTTATATTTGAGTACTTAAGATTGAGCTTGAAATCTCACAGCCGTGGCCACAGCCGTAGCCGTGTTCTTGGAGATATTTGCAGCCGCCCCGGCCCACAGCCGTGGGGCTGCAGCCAGCCGCGGCTGCAGCCGGCCGGTGCAGACCTCTACTTCCTGAGTCCATTGGTGGCTTTCTCGACTCGCTAGCTCAATTTGCTCGGGAGTTATTGACGAAAAACTAATATGACCTTGATGACGTCATAAATGACGTCACGGAAGGTCAACATTGCAAAAATGACGCATCTAACCTTGCAAGGAGTGAATCAAATCACGATTCTGTGTGCTTGAGATAGTTGGAGATCGTTCCCGGCTCCAGAATAGCAGTTTTCATTTTTTCCCCATTGACTTATAATGGTGAGGTCACGAAAATGACCTGACCTCATATGACCTTTAGGAAAAATCCGAGATATACAAGCTGTGAGACTCATAATGGATACTAGATCCTGCAAGTTTCATTTCCCTGTGACATCTCCTCTGGCAGTGAGGGCGTTGCGAAGTTGCGACATCTGAAGACCGTGCAGAGGTTCACTTATGACGTCATAGGTCAGTGACCTGACCTGACCCAAAAATGCGGTTGGTGTCAAAAGATGCGGCTTGGATCAAAGGTCAGGTATGCCAAGTTTCAGCTCTCTATCGCGAGCGTGTTCGGAGCTATTGCGAAAAAACCTATGGGGGAGGGCGGCACCCGTCCCCCCCCCCTCCGCCGGCGAGGGTTAAACCAAAACGCCCGATTCCCATAGCGCCAGTATCATCAATTATGGTCCACAGTTGGAAGCGTGGGCCTTTCAGTGGCCACATACAGGCCGTAGCAGTTATATGCAGTAGTGGTAAGAGTCCGTAGCTCGAGTGCCCCCTGGATAATGACTGCCTCACTTCACCTCAGCTGGGGAAGAGTCTGTCATTCGGTCTGTGGTGTAACGACTACCCCACCGCGGCTCAGCTGTGGTGGGAGCCTGTTTGTAGCTTTGTGTAATGACTGTCCCACGGCGGCTCAGTTGTAGTGAGAGTCTATGCTCGGAGGGCCCCTGTGTAATGACTGCCCCACCACGGCTCATCGGCGCCCAGCTGATCAGCGGTGCCGCGCGGTCCCTGGGGTGGGAATTAGTGAGCTGGGAGGCGCCGGCCGCCCCACTCCGGCGGTCGATCTGGACCACAGACCGACCGCGGCGGTCCCAGCTCAGACGGGGTGGGGGCTGCAGCTCCATCCTGCCGTCGATGGAGAGTTTGCGTGCGGCGCCGGCGGCTCGCATGTCTGACCTCCAAACAAAAGGAAACGTACTTAATTGTGCAGCACGGCCGTGATCGGCTCTGCCAACACTGCAGTAATTGGCTGAACGGATGACGGCGCCAGACTAAATGCCGTAACTGTGTTTGCTGGAGCTCTCAAAGACGGATATAATCCCCGTCTATGTCACACAATGTAGGCATGTGGTCACAGGTAATACTTCGGTCAAATATGCGTTCTCAGAAACTGGGACCGTATGTGCGTGACCCGTTTAGTTCTCATAAGTAGCCGGACTACCTATTCGTCAGCCTCCTATACGGAAGCGGTTAGCTTTAAATACATACCATCCTCAGCCCACAATTTAGTTAGTTACATTAACTAGTTACACAATTTTCAACAGCACACGCAGGTACACAAGTTTAAGTTTCAGCGTCGCACATTTCCCATCACTGTTGGCTCGCACACTCCACTTTGTAAAACACTCTTTAGGCGCCGCTTAATAGATTGCCGCGCGGGGACTTTGAGCCGACTCCCGGGGGAGATGCCTCAGTGTGCGCCAGAAATGGGCCCACATTCCTTCAAAGTGTCTGCTTTTGGCGCGCGCCGCCACAGTGCGAGATCGCACAGTGCGGTCGATGAAATTCAATTACCGAGTTTCCGGGACAGTGCGCCAATCACATTGGCGGCGGTGGTGGCTCGCGGTGGGTGGGCCGGCGGGCTACCAAACTTGTACCAGCGCTGTCAATTGCCGACGGCGCGACGTGTGTTCCCCGCACTCTTTCCGTTCTTCCTCCTCGCCTCTTTCTGCCTGTCTGTGCGTGTACCTATCTTGTTCTTCTCTTTGTCCTTTATTTTATGCATTTCTCCTCTCTCAAGTCTGCTCTCTCTTTTTCTCTCTTTCTCTCCCTCTCTCTCTCTCTCTCTCTCTCTCTCTCTCTCTCTCTCTCTCTCTCATTTTCTTGCTTCTCTTTTGCTTCTCTTCATTTCGTCATTTTCCTGTGTTACTTTTCCTGTGTTACGTTATCCTAGAGCAAAACATGCCACCATAGCTACCTAGTTAGGTTACGCATCACGCATTGCATCAGGTGATCAATTTGTCCGTTCTCTGTGATCTAAACTGTTCAGCGGCTCCCAGAGCCACTCCGCTATACCTACTTCTCATCTGCGTCCCTCACACCGTATTTAGTAACATTTATACCGTTTTTCATCGGAAATGTGACAGCGCGTCTGTGACGTTTGGAGGCTGACCGGGACGGTCCGGCGGGCCACATCGACACAAACAAGAAGCGTCCTGGGCGGCCGCCACACCGCCGCTGAGCAGCTTACAGAATATTTATGGCGCTCCATTATGCGCGGCTTGTATTTGCGATGTGCCGTATTGGCGCGTAATTGGATTGTCTGGGACGGTTATTGAGTGGCGGCCCGCACTGTGACCGGCGGCGGTGGAGCGTTGTGTCACTCCGTCGCATGTAGTGGTCCGCACGACAAATGGCTGCCGGCAAAAACGGTGTATCACGCGCCTTGTTATTGGCGTCGTACACGCAAAGTCGTGACCAGCCATTGCCGAGCACAAAACGCGTCCTTCTGATGCTAACATAAAGTCTTAGCTCCTCCAGAATGGCATACTTACGTAAGGCTTTTGAGTACCTACATAAATATACCTATAGGTATGAAATATACCTACGCTTCCATGCCTCTAAAATATCACATTGACCCGTTATCGATTACACCTATCACATAGGATGGTGACCTGAGCCTGACCTTCCGTCCCTTGTCCACCACCCGCAGGTGGCGGTGACCTGGACCTGAGCCTCCCTCTGACCTTCACTCTAACCCTCCCACCCATCCCACCTTTCACAGAGGTGTCACTCCTTAACTAATCCCTTATTGACCTCCAGTTGACCCTCTACTGACCCTCCCCTGACCCTCCTCTGACCATCGCACCCTTCCCTCCTCCCCCAGACGGCGGTGACGCGGAGCAGCCGGACCGGTCGCCGTTCTCAGCGCGCTCCTCAGCTTCCTGTCCCCGTCTGCTGGGTGACGCGCCCCTCAGCCTGTCGGCGGCGCCGGCCGGCGGCGACGGGCCCCTGTCGGGAGCCATCCTGCCCATCTTTCACAAACTGGTCAGTGAGCGGCAGCGCGCGCGGCCGGCGCCTGTGCACGCGGCTGCCTCCTGTCCCAACATCACCGTCAAGTGCGACATCGTGCAGTACTTGTAGCGTGCCGCTGGCGCACAGACACTGGTGGCGCGGGCGTGACACGCCGGCGACATGTGTGACGCTCCGGTGACTGATCTCTCCGTGGTGTATGAGTATTTTTACTACCAACAGACCTGAAAGGCTATCTTGAGTGCGATGCTAGTCTGTCCGTGACCAGTGTTGTTGGAGAGGCACGTATGCGTGCGATGTTATTTGTTGTGGTACGTGCCGTTGTGGCAATGCGTTTTCGTGTGTGTGTGTCGCTCTGTGCGCTCTCAAAATGATACGCTTCCATTCGTTCCATAGCCGGTGGACGACCCGTGCTTGTGTGCCGGCTGGCTGCGCGCAGCTGAGTGGGTGCAGGATGGATGCAGGACTGGGTGCAGGGCTGGGTGCAGGGGTGCACGGAAGGACGCGGGTGTTGCTGTTGATCTCTGTGCAGGTGCACTGGTGCACATGGGGTGTAAGTGCTGGTGTGGGAGCGGGACGCGGGTGCGGGTGCGAGTGCGGTATCCCCGACTCCTGATCTGCATTCTGACCCCCCCCCCCCCCCGCCCCAGGGAGTTACCAACGCCCTGTTCGCTGCACAAAAAGTTAACGTTCCACGCCTTTTCGAACAACTGACGCGTGATTGATAATATACTCGTGCTAAACAGCGAAAAAAGAATTATTGGCTGACCACCTTGGAATGATGTTACCTCTTGCTATTTTTTTTTTTTTTTTTTAGCGAATCAATTATCTCTTCTGTTTCACATGGCTAAAACATCTCGCAAACGATTAGACAAGCTTTTATTTGGAATTCAATACATTAACTTTACATCAGAAAAGAACTTAATGTCGCGGCTGCGGCAGAGCTCTGGGAAGCTGCGTTTCCGAGGTGACAAAGCCTGCTGAAGTCGGTTGGTCGCTGTCAAAATGATGAGCGGCCGCGGAAAAGAGTGCTTTTCGCGTCCGTCGTTTTTAATCTAAGTTTGGGAAGTGGAGAGAAGCTGTCGTCGGACGGCGCACCGCTATCGTATTTTTCCGCGCCGTCCCACTCCCTCCGAACTTGATGACGGGCCAGCGCGCCGCCCTGGCTATGACAAGTGACGGCTCAGGACCAGCCCCGGCTCAAACGGAGCAGGCCGCGGGGAAATACGGACGATTAAATGCTCAATTAACAGTATTTTTGCATTTTCACTCTAGCAATCAACTGTCCGCGTTGCATTAAAGTTCAAACATGCCTAATTAATATAACAATAACAGCATTAATGTTTCACAGTTGGTGATCTGTTTTTAATTCGCACTGGTTCGGTAGACGCCACGCTGGAGCTTGCCGCCCTTCCTTAGACGATCAAAGAGACGAGTGGAGGCTCCCAGTCCAGCTCCAGTCGGTCTGAATAGTGACTGGTTATCTTCCGAGTCACTAGCCAGTCGACCGAAAGGAAGCGCTGACCGGAAACGATTGATAGTCGACGGAATTCGCCCAAAACATGGCGCGTGCCACGCAGAGGATGCAGTCAGTGCCATGTGGGGTGGGTGATTGAACGATGACCTGGTCAGGTCAGATCAGGAGTCGATACAGAGCAGAGGTCAGACCAGGGGTCAATACAGCACGGTTCGTCGGAAGGTCATCTCAGGCTCAAAAGAAACGATATGTACCATTCGAAAGCTGACGGTGAGCTGAATCCAAAAATGTAATTTTTATCAAAATCAATCGATGGCCTTTTTTGAAAATTGCGTTTTTGTAAAAACTTAATAATCTTTTATTCAACGGGCTGTCCTGGACATTCCTGAAAACATAAACATGTATTTTTGAGTTCCGGTGAAAGCTGAATGCCAAAAGAACAATATTTAGCGAAGCAACATTTCCAAACATCAATATGCGTCTCCCACAGCCGAAAATAAGGTGCAATCACACAGCTCAGTGTCACGATGGACCAAAGTCAGCCACACAGAAGCGTGAAATGACCCTTATCGACTCGCAGACCCGGCGCTCTAGGCCCGCCTGACCGGCCACGGAAAGAACGTTCGGCTCTCGTTCTACTAAACAAATGTCATATTTGTCAGTTTAACTGTCCACATCGCTATTAAAGTTATTCAGGATACCTGTGAAGAAAATTCATTGTTCTGTCATCTTCACATCATGCATTAATTTGCATTTGTTCATGTCTGCTTTGCTCAATTGAGCTTGGTATCATGCCCAAGGAAAATTGCCTTGGGCCAAGGAAAATTGGCCGCGCTGAAATGTCAGAGGCTGCACCGGCCTCAGCTCGGGTGGAGTGGGGGTAGCGCCCGGCGGGGCAGGGTAACCTTTGACCGGTCGCACGGCCGAGCAGCTGTCACCAGTACAGCCTCTGACAGTGAAACCCCGCTCACTTCCCCTGCGCGGGCACTGATCGCAGCTGGATGGAACAAAGCATGTATAAGAAAAATGTAAATTAAAGCATGTTGTAAATCGAGCAGAACAATAAATTTTCTTCACTGGTATCCTGAATAACTTTAATAGCGATGTGGACAGTTAAAGTGACAAATATGACATTTGTTTAGTAGAACGAGAGCCGAACGTTCTTTCCGTGACCGGTCAGGCGGGCCGAGAGCGCCGGGTCTGCGAGTCGATAAGGGTCATTTCACGCTTCTGTGTGGCTGACTTTGGTCCATCGTGACACTGAGCTGTGTGATTGCGCCTTATTTTCGGCTGTGGGAGACGCATATTGATGTTTGGAAATGTTGCTTCGCTAAATATTGTTCTTTTGGCATTCAGCTTTCACCGGAACTCAAAAATACATGTTTATGTTTTCAGGAATGTCCAGGACAGCCCGTTGAATAAAAGATTATTAAGTTTTTACAAAAACGCAATTTTCAAAAAAGGCCATCGATCGATTTTGATAAAAATTCATTTTTGGATTCAGCTCACCGTCAGCTTTCGAATGGTATATACCGTTTCTTTTGAGCCTGAGATGACCTTCCGACGAACCGTGACAGAGCAGAGGTCAGGTCAGGGGACAGGTCAGACCAGGGGTCGATACAAAGCAGAGGTCAGGTCAGGGGTCAGGTCAGACCAAGGGTCGATGCAGAGCAGAGGTCAGGTCAGGGGTCAGGTCAGACCAGGGGTCGGCGGGGACCGCACCAGCTGTGACGGGAGAGGCGCTGTGTGGGCCGCTCAGTGTCGGGTGTGTTCCTGTGTCCGGTGACCCGTGCCGTGGTCACAGGCCGGTCGCTGGGTGTCTGTGTATGTATGAGAGCTGTGTATGACCCGATGTCGGTGACCGGGACGTTGTTACGCGGTGTGCGGGACCAGCCGCCGTCTGCCCGCGGACAGAGGTGTCACAGTAGCCCTGCGGCGCGGCGCCTGGGCCGTCACCCGGCCGGCCGGGCGGCGCCGTCTCAGGTTTCAGGTCAGATGGGCGACCCGCCCCGACTCAGAGGGCGGCTCGCCACTCCACCGACGCCGGCGCCGGCTCGCGGCGTTTGTCATACTTTTGTACAGGGGCCGGCGGGCGGCCCGCAGCCGGCGGCGTCACCGGTCGTCTGAGGGCCAGAGCCCCGCCCTCGTCGACACGAGCGCTGCTGCACGCGCGCCGCCCGCCGGCCCCGCCTGCTGCTGACCCATCCCACCCGCCCGCCCGCCTCTCCTCTCCCGCCCAACCGCCCGCCCGCCTAAATTGTGATCCTACGAGCTGTCATGTGTCATCAATACAATACGGACCATGTGATTGGCGACTGACGGATAACGCAGTGGATGATTTGCTGACGACACAGTTTTATGTCAGAAATATTTCAACATTGGCAGCCTGCTTGATAAAACGAAGAAACTGTTGTTACGTTGTGATTGAACCAAAGTTCATCAGCATCCAAGTCCCCGGCTGGCATTTTGGTTCTCAATGTACCGTATAGCCCTGCTCCTGAGCTCACCACGGATAGTCTGCTAACCGACCGTGGAGCGGAACCCGAGACCGTCTGTATCGAATGGTTCCAATAGATGTGCTAGTGGAACGCGTATGGAGGCCACGTACGGGGTAACCTTTCGCAAAACGGCCACTCGGTAATTATTTATTTAGGTCGGCAGAACTGACGACTATAGTAATGTTCATTTTATACGAAGCTTCGAAAAGGGTGCGGGCGAAAGCGAACTCCGGAGAGCATTATTGATATTTAAAATTCTTCTCGAACTTTTACTCTATATTGAATTGGGTGATCGAGTTCCCGTCGAGAACCGTCGGCCAGGGCCAGTTAGACACGAGTCTCGGGAACCGTCGGCCAGGGCCAGTTAGACACGGGTCTCGGCAGCAGTCCTTTAGTCGGTGTGGACTGGAGGATCGGTAGTCTCTGCTGCAGGCATGAACAAATAAAAAAGTGTGCATTTGTTTTTTTCTCTCTCTCTCTCTCTCTCTCTCTCTCTCTCTCTCTCTCTCTCTCTCTCTCTCTCTCTCTCTGCTGCAGCAGAGATGAAGCTTAGCTAGAGCAGAGCTCGAGGACCGATGGTTCTCCAGCACTGGTAACTCAGTCTGTCTGCCACTTTGACTCCATCACGGACCAGCAGCTCGGGATCTTTACCTGAAGACTCTCCGTATCCCGCCCCCGTGCGAGTCGTGACGGTCTCTGCGGCGCTCGCTCCGCAGGCCGGGCCGTCCCGGTGAAATCGATACCCGTCAGATGGGACCCTACAGAGCAGCGCGCCGGTCCCAGCCTCCGGCCGCGAAAAACCCAGCCAGAACAAAAACGGAACTCGAGCTCTTCAAATGACTGCAGCGGCCGACTGCTGGGACCAATCGAGCTGGCCCGATCGGTGACGCGGCTCGATCGGTCATCTTGACCGACCGGTCATCCCACCAGCGACCGACCGGACACAGGCGACACCGATATCGTCTCGACAGATCAGTTCGATATTCAGAGCAACCGATTTTAAAACTGTCAAGAAAAGTATCCATTGAAAAAAGGAATGGTCGACAGGGGGCTAATGAGCATAATCACTTCATAAGGTGATGCTTAGGACGAAACACGATGAAATCGCAGAATGTGCTGACCGTTTCGAAAGTTCAGTACCCAAGCTCTTGCAATGGGAGTTGGCTCGCGATTGCCTTTTTCAAACTTAGCCCAAATGTTGCAGATAGGCGAACTTTTAAGGCCAGCATTCACGCTAAACGAAACTTGTGCATTGTGCAACTCTTGACCTATACTGTCTTGCGGGACAATTTCGGATACACAGCGCATCTAAATAGGAACTTTTGATGTGTCCAAGGCCAAGCCAAGCCAAGAACAGCTCGTACCGTCAGAGCTCCTTTACTCTGCAACTCGGTTTCCGCAACTGAACACATACCATTCCCGTCACGGGCTAAAACGGACCGTTGAAGCGACTCGAACCGCAATCTCATCTCCATTCGGCCCAGCCATCCAGCGCTTTCGCGACTGAGCTATATCGGGGAATCCCGAACATTCTTGAAAAGTTGGTGATTTTGGAGTATGGTTTATTTCATTAGTACTAAGTCATCTGAGTGTGATATAGGCAGACATACATGAAAGAATACAAGCGACACCGATTAATATATGTTCATCGTGACACTATCAGTCCTCTAAAACATGGGCATACACCCATTGCATTAAAATTAAGGCAAATGTACAAAACACAAGCACATGTGAGGCCATCAATAATCTGATGGCTCTCAAGAAAGTATCCAAGCTTGTCTTGACAAGATTCTGGTCATCAACTCGAAGCATTTACAGTTGATATGGCTCTCGAATTGTCATGCATTATGTCGATAAACAACTGCTAACCTGGAAGCACCATCCATCGCCAGCACCGCAGGCTTCTCAAACGATCACTCCGACATCCCTATTCTCGAACTCAGCCCATGAAGAGGACTTCTCACTCAGCATTTCTCAACCTCAGACACACAGTCATGGACGCACGGTAACGGAGCGGGTCCTCCTTCAGTGGGTACTCCTACAACTCAGTGACTCCGTAGGTCGGCTATTCGGTTTCTGGGCGACGACCCTCACGGCACTCTATCCCTTACAAATTCCACACTAAAGCATAAAGCATCGTTGTCTCTACCCTACTCACGGCAGCATCATCGTTACACATGTTCACGCCCAACCGAGCACTCTTACAACAGTGTCTTCTTTCAACAGGCGCTTTCACGTCTTCCTTCTCCCCTCTTCAGCGAGTCCGCTCACGCCGACCACTCAGAAGTTCTCCTTGCGGAACTTGAAGCCGAACTCGTCGCACTTGTAGCGCAGCGTGCGGGAGAGCTGCGGCGGGCCGCAGAAGAACACCGTCACCTTGCCCTTCTTCTGCTCCTGGATCTGACGGAACACCTTGTTCCAGTTGGGCCGGCCCGCGATCGTCCGCGTCTTCAGGCCGGTGATCATGTCGCGCTTCTCCTGTGAGACAGAGGAAAGCCATGGTTAGAGCATACAGTGCAGCAGCGATCGATGTTATTACTGCGTTTTATGCTGTCTTAATCTCTCCACCATCGTCCACACCCTATAGAGGAAGAAAGCATTCCTCCTCGAACCCTTTCTCCGATTCATCACACCCACCTTCTCATGCAGCAGGTCCAGGGCCAGCTGTAGTCCCACGGCCTTCATGTCGGTCTTCTGCAGCGCCGACGTGATGTACATGTGCATGTCGAGGAAGCGGTCCATGACGCCGCCCTGCTCGGCCTGTTCAATCTCCAGCTGAGAGAGCAGGTTCACGAACCACTCGAACGAACGCTGGTCGCGGTTGATCCAGAAAAAGTCCACCTGAAGCGAAATAATGCGTAGTGTGAGATTGACGATCAGCGAAGATGCAGTCAGGATGGCTATAGCAAAAACGAACCAATGGTCGATTCAATTTGGTTGAGATGTCGAAGGATATTGTCAGTATGTGGTATATTGCCATTTTGGGGAGAAGAGTCCGTGATTCGTAGCATGTTACGTTTGACTTGCATAGTTGTTAGCCATATGCACTCTATTGGCCCTTTACGATATGTCAAGAAAATTAATTACGGGTAGCACGCCACAATGTACAGCGAAAACGTCAGAAGAGCGACTTTAGAATGAGGTACGAAAGGTGACGAGGCTGAAGCATCTTGCCTAAAATAGTGATGACGTTCAATGTTCGTGGCAGGGGTCATTTTTCAACACCTAGGTCTACGCTCGTAGGCGCGAAATTCGCCTCATCGCATTGAGCCAATCGATTTTATCGAAACAGACAACCACTTTCCAAAAGCTTTTGTTCCAGCCACTCCCACCAGGACCAAAATTATCCTCCCTTCGTCGCAGCTGCCTATACGGCTAGCACGCGAGGTATTGTGAGCCCATCACTCTGGGGGCAATTCGTCACGGCTGTTCAAACTGCAGGCGTCCGGCGGCGGCGCCGAGTAGCGCGGGCCGACCGCTCGGAGCGGAATGTGCCCTCTCGGCGGCGCCGGGCCGGGCCGGCCGACCACCGACATTGCACACGGGCACCATCGATCAGAAGCCGCTCCAATAAAGCGCAGACCGCCGCCGCCAGACGCCGTCCCGAAATATATCGGCAGCGCCGTCCCACGGCCGGCCAAAGTCGCGGTCACGCTGCCACCGGAGCCGCGCGCCGGCCACCCAGGTCACCGGCAGACGCGTGTGGGTGCCGTCTGCCACAGCTATTGGGAAATACATCGCTCCGGCTCCTCTCAACGACACTTCTAGGTGTGAACCTGTTCCAAGGCTGATGCCAATAACAGAGGGACTTATCAACACAATGAAAATTGCACTGTGCCCCACCACTCTGCCTTTGATGTAGTCCGCCAACGGATTTTACTAGCTATGAATGTTAATTTGCTTGCATTATTGCTTCCCAGAAGGCTTTAGAGAAACCCAAGCATGTTAATTGCTTACAAAGTGATTAAACTTGTGAGTTGCCTCATTTCCGTCAAGATCAAAGACTTCCCACCAGGCCTTTGACTTCCCCCATTTTCAGACACCTTTCAATAGCTAAGCTCTCACCAACATCACAGCCTATGCTGCCACGCACAAGCCTTCAGTCACAAGAAAGCCCCCTCCCCACCGCTTCTCGCGAGGTCCCCACTCCCTGTTTGCTCCCTTCCCCTCCTTCTGCGTCCCGGACGTACCTTTTTCAGGTTCATGATGCCCTCGGGCAGCTCGGAGGTGAACTCGTGTTCGCAGCGCGGACAGCGGTGTCGGTTCTTCCAGTAGCGGTACATGATGGACTGCAGGATGGAGGCGAACGGTGTGACGCCGATCCCTGTGCCAATCAGTACGGCGTGCTGCGCGCGGAAAATGTGGCTGGACGGAGTGCCGTACGGACCGTCAATGTAGATCTGCGGGCAGAGGGGGTCATGTCATGTCAGAGAGGTGATAAGTGCAGGAGTAAGCTCAGCATACGAATACGCTGAGAAAACAGTCGTCTTGCAACACATTCCAGTGCCACTCGTGCGGACCTCAAGCTACACCCTTTGACCGCCGTAAAGCTGCCCATCTGGTCCCTGGCCGCTATTCCGGGACCTTTATTGTACTAAACCACCGTCAGTCAGGTCTTCAGTCTCACTGAGTTGGTTGTTCGCCGGTAGTTGGTTGTTCGCCCCCATCACCGATCTGCCTCACTGTTTTTACTCCGGTTTTGTTTGTTACATCACTGCCTCATCACGCCCGTGCTGTCGTCCATTACGGCGACCATCACACGTTACCGGGTTGTTCGTTACGGCGGCGTGACATGTCAACGTCTCGCTGTCACCGTCCGTTGCGGCGCACCGTCTGATTAAATTCCTGCACCGGCCTGCCACGCTCGGCGGCCTATTCGGTCGATTTGTGTTTCCATTGCGGTGTGCCTCGACAGCGGCGGCGACGATGGAGGAGCGAGTGAGCGCGATGGTCACCGTCACGACCAACACCGGCACGTGGGCCCCGTGCTGAGACTGGTGCCGGGCGCCACGTCTAGCTGAGCGGCGCCTGTCCCTGCGCCGGAGCCCAGCTAGCCGGAGCCCTGTCTGGCAGAGGGGAGCCATCCATTGCGGCCAGTCTGATGGCCGGTCGGCGGCGCGCCGGCCACTGATGAGTCGTCCATGAGGGAGTCGCCGGATGGCGGCGGATGACGCGGCCATGTGGTCGGCGCTGACCCCTTTCCGTCGGCCACCAGACTCGAGCGATGGATGACCTCTCGCCGAGGGGACGCTCCGTCTGACGCGCGCGGCGGCGGCTGCACGGTCACAGGGAGTACCTATAGAGCGGCACGAGCGGCCGAAAGGCAGAGGGAAGAGTCGGCGTCAGATGCAGAGGAGAGAGCCGGCGTCAGATGCAGAGGGAGAGAGCCGGTAGCGGAGGAAATGGGGCCTAGTCCTCCATGAATGAAGTTCTGAAAAGCATCACTACACTCGAGCATCAAGATAAGTGAATAGTGCGTCGCAGTGATGACGTCTGATTCATGCGCTGATTGAAAATCGTTACGGCCGTCCAGAATACCCTCAATGGTCTATGGAGCTGCTCGTCTGCGGGTATACGGCCACAGAGGCAGCTGCCGACGCTGTGCCATCTTTGTGTCGGCGTGGGCGCGGGGGGTGAGTAGAGGGGAGATGAGCAATGGCACGGCCGGGTAAGGAGCGCGGACGGGCGGCGCCGGTCGTCCCGGCCGGTTCATCTCCTCCGAGACAGAGATAGCGACCGGATGATGGCGCCGCCGCCCCCGGCGGCCACTGTGGGCTTCCCCGGCTACGACCGCGCTGCAGTGGGCAGGGGCAGAGACCGTGGCCGCTCGGGTTAGCCATCCCGAAACAATGGTCGGGCAGTTAGTCTCGGTGGCGGACGCTGCTCTTAGCAGCTATTTCAGTCGCTGCGTGTTTTACAGTAAAATGGCGCGACGCTGGTAGTCATGAAATAAATTTTAGAAATAGTACTACCAGCGAGTCAGCAATGAGCTTTCTAAATTCGAGACAAAGTTTTAAGTAACCAAATTATATCCTGATTCTGAGCGACGCTGGCAATTTGCCCTGTTTCGAACCATCGATCACGGGCTGCGAGTTTCGAGAACGCGGTCAGCTTTTCAGCTCACCTTGGCTAGCTCACCGTCTCACCTCCGGCCAGCTCACCATCTCACCCTCAGACATCTCACGTTCAGACCGCTCGCTCCCCTGACGGACAGGTCGTTCATCAGGGCGGAGCGCGGCGCCGCCGAATGCAGACTCACCTGGCGGCGCGACGCGGCGCGCTCTGAAGGAGCGTCTGGCGGCCGTCAGCTCCAGGGGCAGCAGCCGGCTGCAGCGCCGCCCGGCCAGCCCACAAATGGAGAGTGATGATCGCCGGCCGGCGCCGCGGCCGCCGTGTGCATCCATCAATCACAGGGCCGGAGTCTCGCCCGAGACTCGCCGGAGACTCGACGGAGCTCGACCGGCTCCCAGCTGTTGCATGACCTCCCACCTCCCCCTCCCCCGCGCCGGGAGCAGCCCAGCTCCGCTGACCGTCCGAGTCACGCGAGGTGCCGCGTCCGGCACCGATCTCGGCCTTGGAGTTGCCTGTTATCGACCCCATGGCGGCGGACGGGGAGCGGGATCGCCGGCCACTCACCGGCGCTCCGCCGCTCAACACAGAACAGCCGTTTAGGCCGTTTAGGTGCAGGGAAGACCAGACCGCACGACATGGTGCGCCTCCAGATCAAGAAATGTCACATATATGTAGAATAGGTCGGAATAGGTCAGCGAGATGTAGAAACTTTTGTAGTAAACAGCGCCTTCGCAGTAAAACATTTCTCACCTACATAACTAAAAAATTATACCTATTTAAGAACTATTTAAAAACACTTCAGAAATCGCTATTAAGCGATAAGCTATTCAACAGCTGAAAATATTGTCAGATACTCGGTTAAGTGTGGCGACACAGTGTGTAAACTTTTGCTGACTTTTCTTCAATAGTAGAACGAGATTCTCCCGAGAGCTTAGCTACCATTGTTGCATTAGGCGTTTTGAAATATGCATCAAAGTAGGGAAAAGTTCTTTCAAAATCTGTGCTCTTCCGTGTACGGATGCTCGGAAAACAAGTACCGGGAAGCCATACATGGGAAGTGGCGCTGGGCAGCCACTTCCAGAAACACGGAAACCTACCTCCGCGCCGTGAAATATGCATCCCATCATTGTGGTCATTGAGCGAGCATCACAACGGCGCGTCGCAGAGAGCCAGATACAGCCGAGGCGAGCCGGAATCGTCGAATGGCTCCCCGGACAGTGATCAGGACGGGGACGATTCTTCACTGCCAGCTGGGTGGCGGCGCGGCGGCCGCCGTCCGGATCAATTCTCCGGTGCGTTCAGTCGACTCGGCCCGTCCGGAGCCGACCGACCCGTCAGCGACAGCCGCCGGCGTAATTAAAATCAGCGGATTATGCTCCGTCAGAAGTTGGTGGCTGCCGGCGACCGGTGTGGCCGACAGCCGCCCGGGAGGTCAGCCGCCGGGGGCGGGGGTGGCGGCGGCGGGCGGCGGCCGCCGCAGCAGCCGCCGGGATCCCTCACCGGGCCAGGTCAATATTGCCGGCCATCCATTTTCAGAGCGGCAGCACAAGAGTTAGACGAGCCCCGGCCGACTGCGCGGCTGGCGGCGAGACCAAACGAAAGCCGAAACGAGCCGCCTTACCTGCTCCGGGTCCTGGCCTGGACGGCGGCGAAGTAATACGATATGTACAGACTATATGGAGCATTACCTACATGCTTATAACTAAAGTTGAAATCATTGTTAAATCATACATGTTTAGACGATTGTTTACCTGAATGAGTTGCCATAGTACGAATTGTAGCTGAACGGGCAGGCGCTTCGTACTAACGTTTACACAAACCCATTATAAACGTAGTATTTGCCATTGATTAAATTATTCTCATGAAATGAACCCAGGGTACTATATTTTCTTTAAGATATTATGCCTGTCACCTTTGGACCTTTTAGCGGTGTACTCTAGCTTCAACCATCAGCGAGTTATTAAAGTCTGAGCCCTTTGTTTGCACACACCTTGTTCACTTCACGATAGTGCTATTGCGAAAAGGTCAGTTTTCGCAGGAAATGTCAGACGTAGGTGTAACCACTTACCAAACCCCTCGTTGTTTGCCCGTTGGGCAAGTAAGTGACGGTCAAACAGGTTTGACCAGCTGTCCATTTAGGTGACCATCCCAGTGGAACCCATAACGTAAACGCTGGCCGCAGGGTTGCAGTGGCAGACAAGGAAGAGGGCGGCACCCTGTGAAACCCGTTTATCCCGGCAGACGGCGAGCCAGCTGAGCCCTTACCACCACCAGCAGCGGCAGCAGAGGCCGCAGCTGCGCCTATCCTCCCACTCAGCTCCGTTCGCAGCTCCCTCGTCTCCCCCTCCCTCAGCTCCACCCCACCGCTCCCGAACACCATTCATCAGCGGCTCTGCTCACCTCCAGCGGCTTTCCGACCGGGTACTGGACGGCCTCGCCCTCCGTCATGGCGGCCGCCTCGAAGCGGCCCTCCTCCATCCTGGCCTCGCGGCTCTCGTTGCGAGGCGTGCGGCTGCCCTCGTCCACGGCCAGGCTGTCCGACGACGGCGTCTTGAAGGCGATGATGGTCGGCTTGCGGCGCATGTAGCGGAAACTCTTGGCCACCGACTTGTTCTGTGGATTCTGGGAGAGAGAGGTCGTGTTTTAGGATTTCATCGGAATGCATCTTTGAAAGCAAAAAAAAAAAAACTTACGTCTGATGAAATGTTATGTGAAGACCAATTTGTTTGTCTTTACTGTGCCTACGCAATTTCTTTGCAACTAAAATCAATCTGTGACCCGTTAGAATCTGTGAACCCGTTAGAATATAACCGTAACATGGTACCTAAGGAAAAATAAGTCACATATCATATGCTATCACCATCACTTGATAAAAGTTATCAAGAGCCTCGAAAAAAATGAATACTCTGACCAGGAAACTAGCTATAAGCTAAACGAAGAAAAAACTGAAAACCTTGTAGCTCCGAAATTCACATATTCATTGTAAATCCTAGAAAGTCGTTTTTATTGTAAAGCAGGTGTTTTTTGAAAGGTTGTCCTTCATAACAAGTTCCTTGATAAGATGGTATTTTTAAACGGCCTGCTAACGTCTCAAATCACACGTAACGACCACATTTTACCGATCAAATACCCCAGAAAGTCATGCCGGTTCAAATGGCATCTCCGGAGATGAGTTACGAGATCGGTTTTCCAGAGCGTGATCAGTTGGATCCATTATCAGAGTACGTTGTCATAAAAAGTGGTGCCACTCTCGGAAAATGATCAATAGGGGCCGACAGAGGTGTGTGGCAGTAAAGCGGGGCGGCCGCGCGCCGCCGCCGTGAGAGTGGTCCGACTGAAATATGGAGGCCGTTCGTCACCGGACGAATCCCGAGCCGCCGCGCGGCACCGGGCCTCCACTCCTCCCCGCTCCTCCCAGCTCTGCACTCCTCCCTTCCCGTCTGGAGCAGACAGGCCCGGAGAGGCGGCAGAGCCCTGCCGACTGCTGGCCTTTGCGTGACGCGCGCAACACTTATTTGACGACTATTTTAATGAAACGCGCAATCAGGATCGGAAAAAGTAATCACAACGGAGCAGCGTCAGCAGCAAACTATCAAAGAAAGGAAGAGCTCTAAATGATTTCGTTTTATTAGTTTTTCTTGGGAGCGCGGGGTGACCGCTGAAATTGGAGAGCTTTGGATGAGATTACGTCCGAGACCGTGCCGTCTCCGAACTGGGAGTGCAGCTTAGAGTCGCGGCACCGGCCCGAGACGGGGGGGGGGGGGGGGTGTCAGCGGGCAAACAGCCGGCACCGGGCGGGAGAGGCTGCCGTCACCCCACGCCCTCCGAGGGACTCACCATGTACGGCATGTTCTGCAGCTGGTTGCGCGCCTTGGCCAGGGCCGTCTCGTCAAACTTGGTCTCGGAGTTGGAGCGCATCTCGCCGCGGAGCCTGCCGAGCGGTCACACGGTCAGCACTCAACACTCGGCACTCAGCACTCGGCACTCGACATACGGCACTCGGCACTCGGCACTCGGCACTCGGCCCTTGGCACTCGGCAGTTCCGTCACACTAACACCCGCAGCCAAAGATGAGGTGAGATTGAAGCGAGGTGAAGGACGGACAGGGAGACAGAAAAAAAAACGAAAGGAACGAATTGCGAATAGTGAAAGGAGTAGACAGAAGTGAGGCAAGGACTATTTCGGGTTGCAAACTTCAGCAGGCTCTCGAAGTGAGCACTCAATACAGTGCAATGTGTCCCAAGATGGCGCAATTTGGGCGTTTCTCATCGCCTCTCGGTCCATAGCCTACCGGCGGAGTCGGGTTATTGTTGTGGAATTTCGATGAGCACCGCTGTTTCATCTGGTCCGGCCACATTCAATTGCGCCTTCGCCACTAGCCGCCGAGAGAATTTCCCGCGGGACAGAGTGGCCGCCCGGGAGACAGAGGGCGTTTGGGAAAGATCATCCTACTGCCTCAACGCACCTGTAATGCTATGCTCTGGGGCATAGACCTGGGGGAATCGTTTACCGCTGGACAAGCGTAGAAACAGTTTCGATGTTATTAACATATCCAATTTGGTGGATCGCTCACGCGGTGTTTTTCTTTAAAGTAAACCATGCCCGGTGATGGACACGTGTACTGCTACACAGCTATACACATATGTGTCTTAAATTGCATTTTTTTAGAGATTGATATTTGGTGCTAAAAACTAAAAAGCGATAAATCGTGCCACCGTCGCTGCACCGGATATGTCCGAGTGCGCTGCACGAGATGTCCCAATAAGCCGCACAAGATGTCTCTGTGCGGTGCACGGGATGTTCGAGAGCCGCGCGCGGGATGTCCTAGTGCGCTGCACGAGATATCTCAGTGATGCGCTGCACGGGATGTCCGAGTGCGCTGCACGAGTTGTCCCAGAAAGCCGCACAAGATGTCTCAATGAGCCTCCGTGGCTTGGCGTCTCTGTGTTACCGGAGCGCCGCCACCGGGATTAATTGCGCCTCCCTCGAACAAACACAATCAACTTTTCTTTCCAGACACACACAAAAACAGCAATTGGCGACCGAGGCTGGCCGCCGCCACGGGGCGAACCGGCGCAATCATTTTGGGACCTATTCAATCAATTTACGATAGAGTTATTGGGTGTGGGTATGTAGTAGACAAATAGGTGGCCAAATGTTCTTGATGCAGCGGACAACATGTAGTCGTTAACGTTAATGAGGGTATTTAACCCATTAATGCCGGAATTTTTATTTTTTGATTCTTAAGTTGTCCTTAACAAATGTTAGCCACACGGGTCCCAGTAAGAAAACTGTGCAAGCTTAAAAAAGAAATTCCATCGGTTCTCAAGTTATAAGCATGGGTCATAAATGACCCAACCGGCATTAGTATAGTCACAAATAAGGAGTCATCACGAAAACCAATTTAGGTAGATACCTTATTGTGTATACTGTATAGCGGCCTCAGCCAAACAATATTAAGAGGCACTGCATTGCAATGCTTTGCAACGTCTCATTGGCGAGGCCGTTGGTGCCGCTGGCAGGCCTGTGGTGCCCTTGTTAGGCCTCTGGTGCTCATAGGCCTGACAGGCCTGTGGTTTCCCTGGAAGGACTGTGGTGCCCCTGGGCCCTGACAATTGCCTGAGGTGCCCCTGACAGGCTTGTGGAGTCCCTGGCAGGCCTGCGGTGCTATTGCTAGGCATGTGGTGCCCCTGACAGGCCTGTGGTGCCTCTGGCGTGCCTGTGGTGCCCCTGCTAGGCCGCTGGTGCCCCTGGGTCCTGGCAGGACTGTGGTGCCCTTAATAAGCCTGAAGTGCTCCCGACAGGCCCGTGGAGCCCTTTACAGGCCCAAGGTGCCCGTGCGAGGCTGGTGGTGCCCCTGTGAGGTCGATGGTGCCCCTGGCCCTGGCAGGCCTCTGGTGCCCCTGGCAGGTCTGTGGTGCCCCCTGGCAGACCTGTGGTGCTCTTGCTAGGCCGATGGTGCTCCTGCAGGCCTGTGGTGCCCCTAACAAGCCTGTGGTACCCCTGACAGGCCCGTGGTGCCCCTCGGCCGGCCGAGTCGCCGGCCCGCCCCGCGTCACGGCCCCGCACGACCGGTCCACTCATGATATCATAACATCGCAACACTAGGCCTGTGGTGCCCCTGTCAGGCCTGTGGTGTCCCTAATAGGTCGGTGGTGCCCCCGGGCCCCAAGGGAGGTCATGAGTGACCCATATGACCCCTCTCCTTTGGATCCGCCACTGTGATCTGATCACAACCCCCAGAAATAAATAATCGTATAATCATCAAATGCTTCCCTTGTATTCAACATACGAGAAAATTGACAACACTATTGCCGGCTGGGTCATTTATGACCCAAGGATATTTACCGAGGAAAAAAAGTTATCCGATGGCGACAAGAAGGGCAAAATTATACATCATGCCTTTTTCAGACAAATTTAAATGCCAGGTGGACGATCATTCAACAGATAGTAAAGTGCAAACATAATATAATATTACTTTTTGGGGCGGCGCGCCATTGCCAGTGACCGGCGGCTGTGCAGTCCCGTCGTCTTTGGCTCCAGAAACTTCAGTGGACGAGCTCACACAAGTTTTATGCGGCTCAGGCGCTCGTCACTGAACCCACAAATCCAACAAAACACACGCACAAGTTCCTCAAAGTGCCACTTGCCTCCATTGAGAAAAAACATTAAGATTTTGCTTTTGGGTCATATATGACCCAAGCGGCATTAATGGGTTAATTCGGAAGTGTTTACAAGATAGCGTGACAGGTCTATTAAGCTGGTGAAGTAATCGCTAACAATATTCTTATTTCGAAATAAGTAGTTCATATCCTTGAATGCCACTTACCGTGGGTTTAGTGCCTAACTATCACGCAATTCAAGTTTTATCACCTGCATTCTTACCTATTGATTGAACAGCAAATTTTGTCGGGTTTCAACAACAAATCGACCAGCCACCTTGCTACCAATCGTATAAATAACCTATCGCGCGTTTTGATGAAAAACAGAACCATTTGTCACCGAGCTCCTTGCCGAGGCAGCACTTACAGCAGCAGCTTCTGTCGCTTCTTCATCCTGTGCTCCATGTCCGGCAGGGAGCGGGCCTTCATCAGCGGCTGCTTCTTGTTGTTGAACATGATGCCCGGGGGCGCCAGACGATTTCCGTCCACCGGAGCCGCGACTGCAAACAGTCGCACACGCAGGTATCAGAACACTATCGCACTAGTGCGATATTATTATTAGTGGACTATATTATTAGTAGACTAATATTATTAGTGGATATTATTATTAGTGGACTAATCAGTGAATTACGTACTGATAATTTGAAAGCCATTTTCCCTCTTAGTTAGGCGGTGTCATGTTTTCCAGTCGTAAATTCAGCGCTCAGACCAACAACCCAATCGTGTGCACGTGCACTCCACGCTGCTAATGTTCAGCAATCAGCACACGTTTTGCATCACCGTGTCCCCTGCCGGCTGTATGCAGCGGGTTCCAGTCGATGACAGCAGTAGCAGTAATCGCCTGCGTTCACCGGCGGCCGCTCCATGCGCTATGAGCCGACACCGGTCCGTAATTATGTCGCCGGCTTCTGGCGGCCATTCGGACGACGGTCGGCGTCTAATACAGGCGCGCCCCGCGGTCTCCGGGCCATTTGTAGACTGTTGGGCCGGCGGGACGTCGGACCCGGCACTATTTCGCCGCGCGACGCGCTGTCATTTGTAGGCGATTAGAGCCGGCGCGGCGGCGCGGAGCTCTACAGAGACCGGCCACGGGCGCGCCGCGCCGGGATAAACAGCCTCCGGGCCGCGGGTCGGAGATGAGGGAGGGATGGAGGGAAGCAGGGAGCGAGGGAAGGCGAGAATGAGAAAGCTGGATAGAAGAGGAGTTAGGGGAAGGAGGGTGAATTGCGCCACCTTAAGGAAAAACGCTAATTGTAAGAAAACCGCTGGAGATATAAGCATGCACTGGTAACCATTTCAAAGAGGAGCTCATTGGCTACGATTTAAGAGCCTCCCGATCAATAAAGAATGTTTTGTTTGCTTCTGACAGCTGCTTTTTCAGATACATGCAAAAGGGCGCATTTGCCAACAACTGCTGTAAATTGCGCCAGGGGGATGGCGCAATTAGAACCCAATTGCGCCCTATACTTTAACATGGCTAAGTGAATGAGACGGAATGCATACACCCCGGCAGTCTAATGTCATTGCGGCTTACCTAAACATTTATTATGTTATTCAGGCTGGATAAATAATAAATGTAGATATATATCGCGATGTTTTTTGCCCAGGTAGATAACTTTACATGTGTCCGTACGCTTGTAAAAGTGCAACGAAAACGTTTACTGTAACCGACTAGATATATGTGAACGTATGCGCCTATTCAGTTAAATTTTCACTCGTTTCTCTCAAAATTAATAATTTTTATCATTTTGACAACTTAATGGCATCAGTTTTTACTTTTTTATCATAGCTGTCACTTCTCACGCCTGAGTCCATGTTGAAAATGTTGTATTTTGTCAATTACACCACAAGTCGTAGCCTAAATGGCAGCTGCATTATAAGTTTGACGATAGAAATAATTTGCGGACTGACGACAGCGGGCTGCTCCCTTGCCTGACATTAAACTCCTTCTTTATTGCAATCAGTTAATGATGCATTCATACTGTCGTGATACAATGGCTACACCATTATCCTATTTGCGCCCCCTGGCGCAATTGCCATGGGCGCAATTAAAATTGAGGTACTTTTTAATAAAAACATAGAAGTTATCATAAAGATGTTGCAGGAAGTTTACGGTTTCAGTGAAATACAATGAAAAAAGGGTTTTTCTTTCTAAATATCACTCTGAAAATCACACAAATATCGCAAATTTTTATAGCCAACGGTTCAAAATGCTGCAAAAAAGTTAAGAAAACGCCATAACATCTTTGATGGCGTAATGAGCCTTGCTGATTGGCTTCATCGGAGTGTTTGGGCCATAAAATGAACAATCCAGTGGTGAAAATAATGTTTTCGAACACAAAATTCTAAACATGCCATTGAATCCGTGGGAATGTTGGTGGGCGCAATTGGTTAGGAGGGCGCAATACACCCACTTTCCCCTATTCCAGATGGAGCGGTATCGTTATCCATATATAGCCCTATCAAATGAGCAAATATATATTAAAAACTCTGGAAAGGAAACTGAGCATAAAAACAAATAAGTGATACCAAATTTCCAAATGAACTGTAAAAGAAGTGAAAAGGCAGACAAAGAACCTGAAATGAAATGGGAAATAGCCGGAAAAAGCTACTCAGAAGCCAGAAAGGGCGTGACATTGTATGGCAATGGCACCTTACCTATCTTTTCATCCAGAAGCTAACTGAACATGTATGTAGACATGTATTTAATAAAAAGGTCTAAATGAGTTTCGTCTTTCAATTCAGTTAATTAATCGTTGTTTTGCATCCGACTCTGCACGTTGCATTGCTAAATTCCCGTGCTGTATTTAACAATGCATACTCTCTAAATCAACTAGTCCAGTAGCGGCTGGGACTCGCATTTCACTCGGCCTCCATCCGGATCGTGTTTGTATATCAGCGGCCCCGGGCGGTGGCCGTCCGGCTGCACTGGCGCGGTAATTAGGCCCCGTGCACCCCCTGGGGAGCGGCCGGCCGGCCGGCCAGCGCCGCCGGACCGAGCCGGTCACAGCGCTCGGCGGCCAGCTGTCCCAACGGGATGGCCGCCAAACGAAGCCGCTCACGACTGCGACAAGCGCGCATAATTAATGAGCCGTCTGCGAGTTGGCGGAGCGGAGGCAGAAGCAGGCGAGGGGCGGCGCGGCGGAGGCGAGGGGCGCCGCGGGACAGTGCGCGGAGAGCGGGCCGGCCGAGACGGAGCCAGCGGCGGCCGGCAACAGGTCGCCGCCGGTGGGATCAATAGGTGGAGGTGTTTGGAGGTGCCGCTCCGCTCCGCCGACCGCTCTCCCTCCCTCTCCCTCGAGCTCAGTGTCGTCAGACCGCAGGTGTTCAGGGGCTATGATAGCGCCGGTCTCGGCGGTCATGGCAGAGCGGCGGCACGACAGAGCGCGGGATAGACGGGACAAGCGGGGATAGGAAAAGAAGGAAACAGGGCTTGGAAGTTCAAGCGAGGCAAGAGAAACTGATGAGAGTCGAGAGAGCGAGGAAAGAAGAGAGCGATGAGAGAGACAGAGAGAGGGAGAGAGAAAGGAAGGGAGAGAGAGAGAGAAAGAAAGAAAGAGAGAGAGAGAGAGAGAGAGAGAGAGAGAGAGAGAGAGAGAGAGAGAGAGAGAGAGAGAGAGAGAGAGAGAGAAGTGTGACTGAGATGGATTATGCTTGCGAGGCATCTTTTAATACCAGTGTAATTGCATTTTACGGAACGCGAACAAAGCAGGCCTTTATATAATGAACGTAAATGTACGGAAATACAGCGCCTGAGGCATTGCATTGCAGTCAGTAATTGCAAGCAGCTTGTAAAATATCACTGAGTGAAAACCGACGGTAGATAAGTAGCGTGTATAGTTAACGTGTATTCGTACTAATCAATGTGTTTGTGTTACCAACTCCGTCGTCCTCAACCTCAATGAGTGAGATATTGCCTGCTATTTGCATTAGTTAGAGCTTGTAATGTGGAACACTGGTTTGCTATTTCATCAACTGATAATACGGAGTCGCCCGTAAGCTCGGATATCCATTCCATTTGTGGGTGCGCGTGCGTTCTGTCAATTTGTTACCATTACCGTAAAAATGCTCGTCTGCGTCTTCAGTGGGCAGCGAGACATAGCTCGACATGTACTTGAGCACTTTACGGCTAACATAATTGGGTGTCCCAATTCACTTCCCAAACAAATCGACTCCGAATTGGCCCGCAGCGTCCAACTCCTCACAGCCCGCAGTCTAACTGAACACGTCAACAGCAAATCAATTCGGGCTGCCGAGTGCGCGCCGAGTGGCTGCGCCAATATTTACCTTCCTTCTCCTCCTCGATGGGCTGCATGCCGACTTCCTCACAGGCCTCGTTGACGACTCCCTCGGTGTGGACTTCTGGCGGCTTGGTGTTGAAACTGATCCTTCGGCTCTTGTCGCTGGATGGCGCCAGCCTTTTGATCGACCTGGAACGGGATAAATCGCCCGAGTCGTCAGTAACGGCTGTTGTGGGAGGCTATCGTTGGCTAGATCGGTAAAACTTTGATATCGAGTGCGTTCGAAGCATTTCACATTGGCAAAATAATGATGACGCTGTCCAACAGGCACTGCGTCAGTAGGTGCGATCCGGAATAACAAGATAATAGGTACACATGTTGTTAGTTCACAGAATGCAGTACGTCTCCTCACTTTTTCATCTTCTGAATGCTGGACGGCTCTCCCTTGAGCACCTCGTCAGGATCTTTGCCTTCCTCCAGGCACTGGAGCTTGAGCTGCTCCTCCTCGAAGTAGTCGTACAGCCGGTGGGTCCATCCACCCACAGCGCGAATGTGCAGCCACAGGGTCTCTGGGGGCGGACAAGTTGCGTCAGGTGGGTCTCTTTAGTCACTGAACAACACAAGACTATGCCGCTCTTGTGCCTATAAACTAACGGGATTGTTTGTCATTCTACCTCTGACTGTTCGGAAACTGAACTCTCCGTCCTACTCCTGACCGCTCGCCAGCTCACCACTCTGTGCTGGAGCTCTCACCAACTCACCGTCCCGCCGCAGGGCTCCCACCAACTCACCGTCCCGCCGCAGAGCTCTCACCAGCTCACCGTTCCGCCGCAGGGCTCCCACTCACCGTCCCGCCGCAGGGCTCTCACCAGCTCACTGGCCCGACGCAGGGCTCCCACTCACCGTTCCGCCGCAGGGCTCCCACTCACCGTCCCGCCGCAGAGCTCTCACCAGCTCACCGTCCCGCCGTAGGGCTCTCACCAGCTCACCAGCTCACCGTTTCTCCCACCAACTCACCGTCCTGTTCGGGCGCGCTGCTGATGGTGAACGGGTGCCATTCGTATTTGGCGATGGCCGGGATGTTGACGAACAGGTAGTCGCCCGGGTGGTAGTCCATACTGGCCGGACGCTTGATCACCTGAGGGTGGATACAGTGGCGGATCCTGGGGGGGGTCCACGGGGTCATGACCCCCCCCAAAAGGTCTGAGAGGGTCATTTGACCCCCCCCAAAAGCCGAAGACCTAAATGCGCTATAGACGCCGTCTTGCATGCTCAAAATCACATGTCAAACACTTCTGAGCTAATACCTTTGTTTTTCTGGATCGTGTTGCGTGAAAAGGCGTATTGAAGGCCAGAATCTTACTCATTTTTGTCTCAACCGTGCGAGCACCAGGGGATGATCCAGGAAAACTCCAAGGGGATGGTCATGAATTTAATTCGTGGTGCCCCTACCTATACGCAAAATTAAAAACTCAACGGATTTCGGCCACTTAATTTTGGTGATGTCCTATTTCCATTTTTTTTATTTTGTTTGTTTTATTTTTAGTGCCCCTGGGCCCTGGCAGGTCAAAATCACGTCGGAGGCGAAAGAAATTCACGGGAATCCCAAAAATCACGTCAGGACATTCAGGGCACTCTGACCAGCCTGACAGCTAGGGCCCTTCTTACTTCCTGGGGCCTCCAGTGAATAACCGCTAGTGTCTGTGTCGGCCCCTCTGACTCCTCAGTAGGTAGGAGGCCCTCTGTAGAGGAGACCCTCTGTGGAAAGGAGACCGCCTGAATGCAGAAGGCCCTCTGAAGAGAGGAGACCCGCTGTAGAGAGAAGGCCCTCTGAAGAAAGGAGGCTCTCTGTAGAGAAGAGGCCCTCTGAAGAGAGGAAGCCCTTTGCAGAGATGAGGTCCTCTGGCTCTTTGAAGAGAGGAGGTCCTCTGTAAAGGAGGCCCTCTGAAAGGGAGAGACCCTCAGTAGAGAGGAAGCCCTCTGTAGAGAGGAAGCCTTCTGTAGTTAAGAGGCCCTGTGAAAAGAGGAGGCCCGCAGTAGAGATCGGTGGTCCTCTGTAGAGAGGAGACCCCCTCTGTGTTTTGACAAATGTTTTTGCAAATTTTTCGCGGCGCTTCGCGCCGCCGATTCATGTACATACGTACAGGTCAATATGAAATCGTGACTGTAATTACATAAACCAACCGTGTCAAATTGAATCAGAATTCATATGTGTACTGTGAAGAAACTCCGGATTGTACTGCCATGCTAAAAGGGTGGTAAAATTTGTGTTTTGGAGCGGAGCTGTGTTTTGACACATTCTTTTGCAAATGTTCTCGGCGCTTCGCGCCGCCGATTTATACACCAATCAATAAGAGAGATCGTGACTGTAATAACACCAACCGTGTCAAATTGAATCGGAATTCATATGTGCACTGTGAAGGAACTCCGGCTTGTACTAGCATGCTAAAAGGGTTGTAATATTTGTGTTTTAGAGCTGTGTTTTGACAACTTTTTTCAAATTTTTGCGGCGCTTCGCGCCGCCGATTCATACACAGGTCAATAAGAGAGATCGTGACTGTATGCTACTAATGCATTGGGCATTAGACTAATGCATAAGTGAGGTAACTATATCTACTACATCTGGGTTTTTAAGTCGGTCGATCCGCCCCCCCCCCCCAGTAAAAAAATCCGTGGCGACGCTCCTCTATAGGTGGGTTTCACTAACTAAAACTACTGAGCCGAGTGACTTACGATAAAACTTCAACTCAGAAACGACGAAGATCAAATGTCATTTGATCTCGACATACTCGCTCCCTACCCCCCCCCCCCGGTCGTCAGAATTCATTCATCAGACCTGGCATGTCGGCCGACTGGTGACCCCCCCCAAAACGTTCCCCTAGATCCGCCCTTGGGTGGATAGGAGGGACGGGGCGAGAAACGTCAGCTCTGCAACGTACAATAAATTTACGACTCAGCTTGCGTGCTAAATAAAGGTGCAAATGCAACCGCAAACGCCCTTTTGGGACGAAGACTACCTGTCGGGCCGCAAAAAAAGATGTTCCGATGGAAAATATAAATGCTACGTTGTTTTCCTATATGATTTTTGACTATATCGTGCCATTCCCCTCAGCCCGCGCCCATGTCCTTTGCAAACTCACTAAACAGTTGGGTGACCTTGCACGCTGACCTCTCGCCCTGTGTGACCTTTGTGCCCAGCCCGTGTCCATGTCTCACTCACCAGGTGTGTGACCTTGCTGGGCAGCAGGATGCCCGAGCTGATGTAGGTGCGTCCGTGGCCCGTCTTGGTGCGCACCAGTCGGATCAGCCTCTCCAGCAGGTACAGCAGGCCGGGCACGATGAACCAGTGCCAGAAGTGGGGCGCGTGCAGGATCAGCAGGATGTAGAACGGCACGTACAGCAGGTGGGTCCAGTAGAACACCTGAGCAGCGGCACAGGGCCAGGTCAGAGCGCAACGTGCGTGGAAGTCGGCTGACATTGGAGAAGCTTGTGGCTGATGAAGCCTGTGGCATTACAGGAAACGTTGATGCCTCCAAACGATCGAGTTTTAAACTTAATCGAATTGCGTCTGCAATAATGTGTCACACACTGCTAAGTGCCTCAGTCTGACTATCCACTAAGCGACCTTTTCACGCTACAAATATTAGATAAAAAACGGTAGGTCTGTCCTCCGCGCCCAAGTTCACTCGGACGCTCACCTCGAAGTTTCCTTTCTTGCGGACGAACGGTTGTGAGCAGATGACCATGACAATGAGGATGGCCATGAGGGCGACGCCGCTGGGGTTGGCGAAGCCCGGCACCAGGCCGAACTGGCCCGGCTTCATGGTCAGGAGCCACTCGGCGTACGTGTAGTTACCCTCGTTGAGGATCGCCAGCGCGCCGTCCGGAGGCACCACGTTCACCGCTGCGGGAGAACGGAGAGCGTAACATGAATAAATGTGGGAGCGTGGCTTATTACTGGTTACAGTTTATCTCTATTACTAAAACACGTGTTTTCAATGATACGCATTAGGCTTTACGTAATAAAGTACGCAAACAAATGTACTATAATAATGAATACGAAACAATAATAACAGAAACGTAAACAAAGTATCTACGCATTACTTTGCTTACTTATATCACCTAGATTCAACAGCGCTTAGAATTGCGCCATTGTACAATAAGTTTGGTACGCCTCTTGCATCAGATGAAGGTAATTAGTTTTGATTCCACTAACCGAAGTTGATGAAGTGAGCGATCGTGTGCACGGCACTGTAGATGAAGATGAACCAGCCGGCCATCTTGTGGAAGTAGATGTGCTCGTCCAAAGGCAGCACGGACGCGAGGCCGTTGGTTCGAGCCAGCGTGATCAGATTTCGGAGCATTACGGCGACGATGAAGGCACAACAAAAGTTCAGTACGTAACCTGCAAAGCAGTAGATATTTATAGCACGGACAGACAGTGATCCCGATTAGTATACGCATATTTAAAGATGTTTATCACTAATTAAGCGTACTTCTTTATAAAAGCCCAACTACCTAATTGAGCAAGCACAATCTTTCAGCATCTGACGATAACGCTACGAACTTGTTTCCAATTTTACGTCACATACTCACAGTATAGAGCTTCGCCCACTTACCGCACGCCCTGGCGATGATGTAGGCGACCGGGAAGTCGAGGAACTGAACGATCCGCGCCACGAACATGCCGATGTTGACTGCCAGGAAGAGGAAGAGGAAGGCCAGGTAGACGTAGTTGTTGCGGATGTACGGCAGAGAGAACTGGTAGGGCACCATGTCGGACAGCGACTTCAGGAAGGACGTCCGCTTCTTCGGCTGAGGAGGCACCAGCCAGCGGTCGATACTGTAAAAGAAATGAGAAACAGGACGTCACATAAATTTTCTGACGACATCGAGCAAATCATGATCCCAAGTGCAGATGAGCTTGATGTGTTTCACTGGGGCACCTGGAGTAACTGGCCCAGCCCCAATGGGCTGCTATAGTGTGAATTTGCTTGGTATTTAGTGCTGCCAATGCACTGCTTTATCTCAGCCTCCAGTACCGTAAGAGGGCCAGGTCGGGCGCCATAGACCACCCAGCCGGCGGTGGATCATCTCGTTGCTGCCCGTCACGGGCGTCCCAAAACAATCACCGCCATCAAACACGGTCCCCAATGGCCGCAGATGGCCGGTTAACGACTGGGACAGACGGCGCTCTGCTGACGGCGCCGCCGGCGGCTGGCAGCCGTGCACGGACGGTCGTTACGGCCGGCTACCCCGCCCAGTCGCTGACCCGCCGCGCTGACCCGCCCCGCCCCGCTACTGACCCGCCCCGCCCCGCTACTGACCCGCCCCTCACTCAGACCGGGCCGGGCCGGGCCGGGACGACGGGGAACGGGTGCCCGGCCGGGAAAATGGTCTTTTGTTACGAACCACCGGTGCACAATGCACGCGACATGGCTGAGACGTGTGGTCAGCGCTGAAAGGCGGGCAGTAAGGCGATGAATGAAGCCGTTTGTTTACGTAATGAAGTACGGGCTATAGAAGCCAAGTCATGCCTACAAATGATAATTTATGAGGCCATTATGTGGACAACAAAAAGGCGAAGCCTTGTCAAAAACTGTTTAAAGGGGTATAATTTCAAACAAGCTAGGTAATTTTCGGCTTTCTCTAAACAGGGTGAAAGAAATATGCTGACAGCAAATACTCGTAGGATGCTTGTATCAGCCCCTGTTGCGATTAAATATCTATTATCGAATGATTTAGGTGCCACACAATTATCCAAAAACCGATGCAGACCATCAGTACTATGCATCTCTGAAGAACAAACAGCAATTGAGCATTCACTCTACAAAATGATGGCTTCCAGTTTTACCATGAACGATGCCACAAGACATTCGTTTTTGTAGCGGTTTTATCGTTCCCCGTCGATGGTTGTTGCGCACCTGATGGAGAGGTTCTCGAGCAGCCCCTCATGTTTCTCCAGCTGCGCCTTGAGCGCCTCGTAGGTGATGGCGCCCGTCTCCTCGGCGTCCGCATCCTCGAACAGCGCCCACGTCAGGTCCTCGATCTGCTCCTCGCTGAAGCGCATGCCGTTCTCCTCCATACAGGCGTGGATCACGTGCTGCAGCTCGTTATGCTGAATCAGACCGTCACCTGTCGACAGGAGAAATGCAGTTATGTATAGATAACAATGAAACCAATGGGAATCAGCGATGAACATAACTATGAATGTATACCAGGATATCTGCAAGTTAGCGGACTTTGTTATCACTTATAAAAAAAAAAAAACGTTTAACTTAAATCGCCACGGAAAGCATTCATTGGTAATCGGGACCGTTGGTTTGGCAAAAAAAAAATGTGATTACCAAGCAATGTCATTGACGTTTTTTATAAAACTGTCTATATTTCTGGGAGTCTTGCACCGACTTTGCCGTGCAATATGCCAGTAACCAGGCTAACGGTACTGCTTCGAGGAAAACGGTTCCTAAATAGAAGGACGAATATCTAAGTCTAATTCATCCAGTATAATGCTAACAATAACAAACCCAAAGTAAAGTGATCGGTTGGTAAGACAGATCAGCATTTTGCTCCATGGAAAAGAGCCAGAGACGACCTTGCTACAAAAGCGAGTGGAGTTCTGTAATAGGTACTTTATGTTCGCCGTTCACCGGTGAAGTTGCTTCACCGGTCACGGAGCTCTGAAGGCCTCGGCGGCATCTGCCGACGCAGAGCTGCTGCCACCTACCGTCGAGGTCGTACACCTTGAAGAGGAAGCGGATCTTGTCGTCGTGCGACTGTCCGGCGAACTGGTGCATGGCGTCGAGGAACTCCTGCAGCGACACCGTGCCGCTGCTGTCCCGGTCGAATATCTGGAACACACGCTCCGCAAAGAACGGCTGCAATAGGGGGCGAAAGGTCAGCTCGGGTCAGGTCAGGTAAAAAGGTTAGGTGGTTCCGATTGGGTCGTGTGGGGACAGTCCGGAGGCATACGGCATGTGGTGATAGGGTGTGACGGAAACGATTGGTGGGATATGCTTGTTGGAGTAACCATCCCATCTCTAACGCCACAATACCGACATGATGAACCGGAATTGGTACAATATCAAGCCAAGCGTGTATAAAGGCGAAAGTTAATTCGATTAACCTGTGTACGTTCTTTTCTCTGATGGATGGACGATACCGAGACCCAAATAATAGATCACGCTGAAAGGTAAATAATTATCTGTGAGCATTGTGAGCGCTATGATAATGGTCGGCTGCGGTCAGTGCGGTTGGGCGGCCCGAGCCCCGGCTGGTCGGTGGGGATGCAGTGAAATGGGAGCTGAACAAGTGGAGATCGTTCGGATTGGGCCGGTAGAGCGGTTATCGTGTGCCGAGCCTGTCTGCTGTGGTGAGGGAGATTGATCGTGTATTTATGTCTCAACATAAAAGTGGTAGCTAAATAAGCTGTTAAAAACGTTTCGTTAGGCATTTCCCCTCATCAGGCAAGAAATGTTAACCCTCGCCGGCCGAGGGGGGGGCGGGTGCCGCCCCCCCATAGGGTTTTTTCGCGATAGCTCCGAACACGCTGGCGATAGAGAGCTGAAACTTGGCATACCTGACCTTTGATCCAAGCCGCATCTTTTGACACCAACTGCATTTTTGGGTCAGGTCAGGTCACTGACCTATGACGTCATAAGTGAACCTCTGCACGGTCTTCAGATGTCGCAACTTCGCAACGCCCTCACTGCCAGAAGAGATGTCACAGGGAAATGAAACTTGCAGGATCTAGTATCCATTATAAGTCCCACAACTTGTATATCTCGGATTTTTCCTAAAGGTCATATGAGGTCAGGTCATTTTCGTGACCTCACCATTATAAGTCAATGGGGAAAAATGAAAACTGCTATTCTGGCGCCGGGAACGATCTCCAACTATCTCAAGCACACAGAATCGTGATTTTATGCACTCCTTGCAAGGTTAGATGCGTCACTTTTGCAATGTTGACCTTGCGTGACGTCATTTATGACGTCATCAAGGTCAAATTAGTTTTTCGTCAATAACTCTTGATCAAATTGAGCTAGCGAGTCGGGGAAGGCACCAATGGACTCAGGAAGGCCTGCCGAATCGAATGATATGCGACATGACCTCTTTCGACCAACTTCGTGACCTGGGGGTGCTGACCTGACCTTGACCTGAGGTCAACACCCCAAGTTGACCTGACCCGGACAAAAAGTATATCATTCGACGCGCCTGAGCGAGGCGAACACGATGCTGCCAAAATCGGCGCTCTGCGGCCGTTTTTTGCGAAGTTATTCACCAAAAACTGAACCGTACCTTTGGGCACTTGACCTGACCTCAGAGGTCACCGGTTGACCTAGGACCTTAAAATCGGGTACCAATCTCTGCGTCTCGTAACGGCGCACACGCTCGTTTTTTCCGCGACGCGCTAGCTCCACCAGGGGCGAAACGGCGAGGGGGGGTCGTACCCGCCCCCCCCCCCCCTCGGCCGGCGCGTATGTAGAAAACCAATAGGTCCGGCGAGGGTTAACCCGCGCCCTGATGGGGGGGGGCCATTTTGGCCCCCCCCTGTGGTTTTTCTGAAATAGTGAGAAAACGGCGGCGCGCAGCGCCGCCAAATTTTGGGTACCTTACCGGACATCAATTTGACACCTTCACACAAAATTTCAAGTCACAGGTCACCTCAGGTCAGGAGTTATTGAGGTCAAACTGAGGTCATGTTCGAGTAAAAATGAGCAAAAAACATGACATCTTGAAACGCTCACCAATTCTACAGTTCACAAGCAATTTTAAAGTTCTTTATGTGGTTGTGTAGAGAAAAGACGGCGCTACAAAACTGCTATCTCGGATTTTTGAAATTTTTGGATTTTGACCCCCAAAAATCAAAAAAATTGATTTTTTCAGAAAAACTCAAAAAATTTCCAAAATTTTTTCGAATTTCGAAAAAAACGGAATATATGTGATAGTCCCTGCGCTCTTCGATATACATACCAAATTTTAGATCGATAGCTCTTTTTTTGGCCAAGTTATAGCGAAAAAAACTGTTAAAAATTGATGACGTCAAATTTTTGAACTCAATTTTTAGCGATTCTAGACCTCGTAGCGCAAAACGGAGACCACCATTGAACTCCCCGTGACGAACTGCATCGAATCGATACCCATTTTATGCAAAAATATCAACTTTGAAATTTGACCTAATTTGACCTGACCTTGACCTGACCTTGACCTGACCTTGACCAAAACGTGACCTAAGCTGGTCCTAAAGTCTGTCTGACCCACATAATCGCATTTGTCATGTAAAATGGACCATAAAACATGTATCACACGACACTTTCATATTGTGACCCCCCAGTGACCTGACCTCTGTGACCTGACCTGGTATCAGTGACCTCAAATAGCAAAATATGTGTTTGAAGAACATTTCCCCATCGATGATTTTCAATGAAATGCATTTTACACGATTTTACAACGCATTTCTTGAAATGCCTGTAAACGGTGAAAATTCGACCTTTGACCTGACCTGTGACGTCATCGGTTTGACCGAGGTCAATGAAATTGGGTCACAAGGTAGTTCCCTGTTGGGGCTATCCAACACCGTTTACCGCTTGTCGCTATGTTGCGTGGTTCTCGAGATCTGAGGGGGGGGCCAAAATGGCCCCCCCCCCCCATCAGACCGCGTTGCTCGGCAGACCCCATCTGGGCGCGGGTTAAGCTTATCGTGTTCCTTCAACTGTGTCAAGAAACACCATTGTCTGGTATTATGAAGTAATGAGCATGTTGAACGATAATTTCATCTGCCGAAGTCATCACACTGACGGGAATCACATTGATGCTGTTAAAACAGATGTAAATGCGCACAAAACGCTATAGCGCTATGTGCTTATAATGTATCGCTCATTGCTTGGAGATAAATATGAAAAGTACGCTCTTTCAATATCCCTGGAAAATACAATTCTGCCTACAGATCCAGCTCTTTGCCAAGTCGTTTGTCGTTGGACTCGTTGCAGCTGTGCGCCAAATCAATCGGTGCTAGTTCCGGAGATGTCGACAGCAATGCCATTGGCCATGGACATCAGCCGGGCCCCCGTTCCGCTCACCTCTTCAGAGAGCTCATTATTGATCCCCTGACCCCAATTTTCGACCGGCAGCGAAATCGCCCTCGGTCCGGTTAACAAAGAACACAGCGGCGGCGGCGGCGGCGCGCCCGGCTGCCACGCGAAGGTGGTGTTCACGGAACCATGGGTTCTGTGGTTCGGAGGGCGGCAGTGGGCCATCAGCGGAGCGGCTGACGGCTGGCCATCGGCGCCCACAGCGATAGTCAGAGATGGGTGCCAGTGCCGTTCTGGGAGAGAAGGAAGGGAGGGACCATCCCCGTCCGTAGTTCTGAATAGTGCAGCGGCTTTAGTTCTCAAAAGCGTAGAAGATGTATTTGGATCATGGCCACCGTAAGAGTACGGATAACGCCGACTTCGTTATCCCGAACTCGCGGGGCTGATTCGGGGACTGATACCCCTTCAGAGCAGAAAAAGACAACCTAGTTCCACGATGACGGAGACAACTTAGAACAGATGATAAATGGTTGTCTATGAGCAGACTCAAAGACAAAAACTAAGCTTTGAACGGACTGGTGCATCTCTAGACAGCGAGCTCGACATTTTCCATACCTACGGTCTGCTGAATGGCGCTGAATGGCGCTTAATAATAGTTCTCTAAAACGCCTACAACAAGGAGAACATGGTTACAACACCCCATGCATTTTGACGGTGTGTTCATTGATTTACATTCTTAGCTGAAATACGTACGCCATAGGAGCTGCATGGATAGATAAAGCATCTTCACGAGCGATCCTACGCGTATCCGTGGTTTAAAATGTAGGATGACTATAATTATGCTCTTTAAGTGCACTGTTGTTTTGTTATTTTTCAAGGACAATGTCAAGGACGCGAGGATTCACTAACTTTCTGGAACGCGTATTGTCCGTGACACCAAACTATGTTAGAGGCCCAGAGTGCAGAGGAACCGGTTATTCAAGGTGGTACGCGTGTGCTTCACATCATTTAGCCAGCCTCGTAAACTTCTTGACAGCCGCCAAAGCTACCTGACATGCACACTAGCAGCTTCATTATGTAGGCTCTGGTCTTGGACTCTTACATAACAAGCATGCTCGATATAAACGTACAAAATGTAGCGCCTTGATCGTGACAAAGCACGTGACAAACCAGCACACATACAAAACCTTGGCCCCTTTTGTTCGTGTCATTCATGAGCGCATTCCTGATCAAGTGGTAAGGTAGTTATGCGTGAAGGTGGTGATGGTGTGAAATCTAAAATATGGAAATGATAGAGCGGCAGTGAAGGGCTTAACTAGGTAATATATGACAACCGAACTGAGATGCTAAATGGCTAGGTTATGCAGAATAGGGTGAGATGCGCTCCGATTCAGAGCAGTTAGCCCGGATTTCAATTAGCCTCAGGGGATGAGTGCAAGCATACTAACGTCTAACCCTCAATCACGCCTAAAATAGATTGACGCTTTTGGAGGACGCACTTTGCTCCGGCGGCCGATTTATGCCAAATTGGTTCCTGTCGACTTACGCCGAGTCTATTCCTCTCGGTGGAGGAGGAGGATCGGCCGTCCTTCCATCTCAGCGCGGCCTTCAATAACATCCCTGCCATGCTAATTAGTTCCCGAAATGACACCGGACCGGGCCAAATTAGGTGTGGCGTAACTGGGCACCGTCTGCCAGCGGGCCGGGTGGGCACGGCACGGCGCCGGCCGGCCCCTCCGGGCACAGACTGTCGACTCCCGACCGGCCCCCTCCGGGCACAGACTGTCGACTCTTCGGCGGAGCACCGCCGCCCGGTAAGCGGCGGTCGGCCCGCCGGGGGCACACGGGGTAACTGTTGGCGCCGCTCTGTTCGGCGGCAGGTGGACCGAGCGGGATGGGAGGAGAGACACTGTGCAGCTGAGGGCCGCAGGCGATGGAGAGGTGGGCGGACGCAGCACTTGACCGGGCCTTCGCCCACAGGTGAACAGCTCTGTCCGGAGTACTGTTCGTTTCACTGACACCCCCGGCCGTCAGCGCCACAGCTACACAGCTGCCATCAGCGCCACAGCTACACAGCTGCCATCAGCGCCACAGTTATACACAGCTGCCATCAGCCCCACAGCTACACAGCTGCCATCAGCCCCACAGCTACACAGCTGCCATCAGCGCCACAGTTATACACAGCTGCCATCAGCCCCACAGCTATACACAGCTGCCATCAGCGTCACAGCTATACACAGCTGCCATCAGCGTCACAGCTATACACAGCTGCCATCAGCGTCACAGCTATACACAGCTGCCATCAGCGTCACAGCTATACACAGCTGCCATCAGCCTCACAGCTCGCGCAGCTGCCGCTGTCGACACAGTAGCTGCAGCCTGGCAGTCGGCCGCATGGTATCCATAAATCCCCTGTCCTGGGACGGCGGAGCCCGCGGCAGCCGGCCACACTCTCCTCCTTATCCCAGAATCAGGATGGGCATCACGTCCGGCCAGAGATTCCACTGACCGCGCCGGTTATCGGTTCTGGCGGTCTGGCGTTCCGCGCACTGTTCCGCCCGCGGCTCGAGGCAATCGCACAGCCGCAGAGTATAGGAACTCAAAGCGGCAAAAACACAAGATGATGAATACTGAGAGGTAGCTGAAAATAAAATGCATGAAAGTGATTGTCGAGTCAAGTGAATGCTTCGTTTCCATGTGTGCATAATATTTATGTTACAAGGAAAGACCCTCAAGCACACACTTGATAAAGAGGAGGAAGAGAGAGGCAGGAGCTAGGAAGGATCCAGCGTTGCCATGTGCGTGTCTTTCGGCGTTCCGTGCGTGCCTGTCGCGCTCCATACAGTAGCATTTTCGTGTCCGTCTCCCCCGTCAGTGGCCGTAGCGTGTCGGTAGCCGAAACGGCTGACAAGTGATCGGCGCTGGAGAACATGGCCAACCACGAGGGAAGCCGGCAGTCCGCGAGATTGGCGCAGCGGTTTTGTAGCGCTGTCAGATGCGGCAAAAAGGAGCCATCCAAAGGCGTTGAGACCGGGTAGATCTGCTAACCTGCTATCAAGGAATATGAAGAAGCTATATAGTTATCGACAAAGACGTTGCGACGTGATAACATTTTTTGCAGCACGTCGTATTGTCAAATGACCGTTTTGCAATACAAATAAGTGATTTATATTGACATTTCAATTACAAAATTACCAAATGGGGGGGGGTGTCCGGATAGCCTAAATATACGTTTCAAACAAATCAATGGATGAATGAACAAATGAATAAATTAATAATCAAATTAAGTAAATAAATAAATGAATATTTGAATGTCAAATGAATAAATAAATGAAAGGCCGTATGAACAATGATTATGTTTAGCCATGATGCCACCTGTTCAAGGTCGTCTAACTGGCCCAAACTGCGGTCATTTTATTGCTAAGTCCTGTAACACTGGGTTCGCGAGCATTTCACAGCATCAGCAAATAAACGTAGTTTTCAAACGTTATTTTTTATCAGAAAATACCCTCATTGCGTAAATCAACTTTCAAGTGGACCTGCCCCGGGCACGTGCAATTATCCAGATGTGAATTTAATGTTAACTCGCTAATCAGTGTAGGAACGTGTACGTTAATTAACGTCAATGCCCATTACACACATAACTTCCATGAAGTTAGTGCGCAGTATTGCCAATTGGCTCCCTGAATAGTCACGAGAGTTGAAGTGATGTTCTACCAAGTGCACATTAGTTTTACTTCCTGGAACCGCTCGCGTGCCATTCTCCTATCAAAGGCCGTTTAAAACTCCGCCACCATTGTCTAGTTTTTATCCCCGTGAACAAAGGTACCCTGTATGCAACGGGAGCGGAGCAGCAACACGTTGCTGCTTGGTAATAGCTACATTGTCCATAATCCACTGAGCTAAAACTGACAGTAATATAATTGGGTCAGTGGGATGCATGCAAGAATTACGGCTAGTCCGAACCCATAACTTATATGGATCACAGCTTCTTCAATACCTAGCGAAATGAGTCACAATCTCTCGCAAACAGTTCGCAGTCAAGCAGTAGGCGCCTTATCAGTTGGATTTTATTATCCGGGTTTTATCATTCCCGGGCAAATAATTCAAACGAGCTCACTCTCTTCAGTGGTTCAACTTGTTCTGTTCACGTACTATTCTGAGCAACAGCGACTCAATGGTCCATTAGCTAGGGACTACCAAATATTAGCTGGCTAGGGGCTGCTGGGGGAGGGGGAGGGGCCGAGGGTGACTGGGGAGGGGGAGGAGCCGGTGCCTGCAATGACTGGGGGCTCTGTTGAGCCAGACCTTACCGCCAGTACGTGCAAAGGCTGTGTCGGGCTGTTGGCTCGCCACTACTCAACACGAGATACATGGCGGACGTTGCTTGGTGGACGGCCATCGATGGGTGAAGACGATGGATGGTGGACGGTGGGCAGTGGACGGTGGGCAGTGGACGGTGGGCAGTGGACGGTGGGCAGTGGACGGTCAACATGTCACTACCGTGGACGTGGAAGAAACATGTGGACTGCTGCGTAATGGCCGTTCTTCCGGGGATTTCCGGTCAACTGAGGCGACGGGCTACACCTCAGCAGAGGATCGTGAGACAGAGGCGGGCACGAGAGAAGACAGATGTGCAAGACGGAATATAAGGAAGAAAGAACAGACAAAAATGCAGCTTAAAGGGAACAGGAGGTTATCATGACGACAAGCGGCCTATAAAATGACCACAAAGCTGACTGTAACTCACATTTTTGGAGTGGACGATCTTGGTGAAGTCGTCCAGGTGAAGCTCCTGAGAGTTCTTCAGCTGACCTCTGAACAACTGCTCCAGCCATTCTAGGTTTTCTTTGGTAAATCCAGTGCGAGGTCTGAAAACAGAACAACAAATCGGTGCAATTTATAGAACGAACGTAATAGCAAGCAAGCATCTGATGCAACTAAGTGTTCGTCGAAGTTCGATAAGAACTATATTAGAACAAACTTCTGCATTATCCGTCTATTGAATTACGGGCTGTTTCAGAATCAGTTACTACTTGGTTAGCAAAGATGCAATAGGTTTATAGTTTTTATTATGTCGAAAAGATAGACGGCATGCCTACGTTAGATGAGGAATACAAAAGGTTTATTCAATACTTTAAATTCAACAAATACTACACACGGCGCTATTGTGCCAGTTAATGAGGCCCACGAGTGTGGTACCGGATGCACCAAAACGTGGTCTCGTTAGAACAACACACTGTTCCGTGACACCGCAATGAGAAAATCCCTCCGAAACGCCACCTGGTTCTCCCCATCCCAGCGCGCACGTGAGCGACTTATTGTAGCGCGGCACGCGAGGCATTCAGCACGTGCGGCCGAGTTCAGTGCTCGGGCGCGGCGTGAGCACGGCCGGGCGCAGTGACACTGATAACAGACCGCAGTGACACTGCCGGCGGACCGCACTGCGTCCATTGCTCCGAGCACAATCGTCGGGAACGGCTCACAGCCGGTGACCGGTGACGGCTCCGACAGGGCCGACTGCCGTGTGAAACCCACCCGGCCACTGCCCTCGGGCCAGCCGGCAGCTCGTAAAGCCAGCCAAACAAACCACCAAACGGCGTCAGGGAAGAAACAGGTGACGCAAATGGCGCGGAGCTGCCAGCCTAGCAACCTCATTAGGCCTGTGATGTATGTGGGTTCAGGTGCGGAACATCTGTTGAGCTTTACGGGTGAAATATTTGGGAAATATCTGTAGGCTGCTGTAAATAAATTTCATACTGTAATCACTAATCAAGCACAGCAGCATTTTCTGGAGAGTGTCAGAAAAAATGGAGTTATGAAGCGTACACGTGAAATCGAGAATCGTGGAATGCCATGAAATATGGTTGCTTACAGCAGCTCGGATTGTTTCGTTTTGCATTTATCACAATAAGGTTTGTCTAGTCTGCCCTTTTTATACCGGAAACTTCCAGCCTAATACGTGATTCACAGCACGGTATTAGGAACGGTGGATAACTTCTAAATGATAATATTTAACCCTCGCCCATGTAGGGGGGGGTTGGTGCAACCCCCCCTGAGGTTTTTCGGAAATAGTGCAAAAACGGCGGCGCGCAGCGCCGCCAAATTTTGGGTACCTTATGGGGCAAACCTTGCGCATCTTTTGATAAAAAAAATTGACCGGGTCATGTCAGGTCACGGAGTTATGACGTCACAAAGGGAACAGCCTCCGGCCGGATTTTCACAAACTGAGTGCCAACGCCCGAGGTTTCCTGCCGGTGGTACGAAGATCGGTTGATGGATCGTGATGAAACTTCCCATGCATGTTGGGGCAAGTATTGGCTATCATATGGTATAAGAAACTTGACCGGGTCAGGTCAGGTCACGGAGCTATGACGTCACAAGAGGAACAGCGTCCGGTACTATTTTTGAAAAGCGCCCGAACCACTATTTTGCTAATTCTTGTCACCTCAATGGGAATATGCAGCAATATTAGCTTCTATAGGGAGCAAATGGACCTTCCAAATCCAAAAATACAATCAGATTTCAAAAATTTAAATTTTGATTTTTCGAATTTCTGCCGCCGACTGTGACCTTGCCGAGTTCCGGCGCTCCCAACGCGCCATTTTTAGAGCTAGGGAAACGAAATACATACCCAACGATAGAGAATTGATCAAGGAACACGATAGTGAAGGTTTAAAGTCGATATCTTCCACCGTTTTGCCGCAATCGCCGCGGAAAGTTGAAAAAAGTCTATTTTTCCGAGAATTTGACCTTTGACCGGTCAAAAGTAGGTCAAATGTTGACCTAGGACCAAAAAATATACCACCAATCGCGAGATCTCGGCGAGAGCAATCCGTTGGTCTTTTCCGCTAAGCTCTACGACGCTCCGTTTTCAAACGCCAAGGGGGGGTCGCACCAACCCCCCCCCCCCCCTGCATGGGCGAAGGTGGCAGATCGCCGTTTACGGGCGAGGGTTAAGATGGGTAAAAATTAATTTACACTTATGCGCATTTTAGGTGAGCACATGTATCTAACGTAAGTAACGCAGGACGGATCATGGATCAGGATCGTCGGTCACCTCTCGGTTGGCAGTAATAACTGATAGCTATGACCTCTTCAGGCATCATTTTACCCAAAATCATAGGTAATTACGGGCATGAGCCCCGTCAGTACATGCTGTCGATCAGTAGTCGAATTACGGCATCGAACCACAGCAAGGCGGAACTGAATGCCGTGTTTTCTGCTGTAAAACACGTAGATTGCTCACATACGGATGATGCCGCGTGACGCCTCGTGCCTACCATTTTTTAAAGGCCTCGGTTTCCATTTTTCTTTCCCAGAGCCGTTCAGTAATATATATTCGAAATCATTCCAGATGTTTTCCCATGCTGGCGTAGTTAGCGAGAAAAGTCTCAAATTTCAATCAGGTCGTCAGTGCTCTTTTGATTGGTGAGCATCTGGTCAACAAACGACATCTACAAAGTACCGAAAAATGGCCTGCAAGGCTATTCATCACATTCATTACATTGCTATTATATATTTAGTTACAACGAGTTCTGCTGAAAGGAAGAAGAGAGAGAGAGAGAGAGAGAGAGAGAGAGAGAGAGAGAGAGAGAGAGAGAGAGAGAGAGAGAGAGAGAGAGAGAGAATGAAAGAGAGAAAAATAGAGAGAGAGAGAGAGAGAGAGAGAGAGAGAGAGAGAGAGAGAGAGAGAGAGACAGACAGACAGACAGACAGACAGACAGACAGAGACAGAGAGACAGAGACAGAGAGACAGAGACAAACAGCCAGACAGACCAATAGACAGACAGACAGACAGACAGACAGACAGACAGACAGACAGACAGACAGACAGACAGACAGACAGAGGCAGAGACAGAGAGGGAGAGAGGATAGAGAGAATAAGAGAGAGGGAGAGAGGGCGAGAGGATGGAGAGAATAAGAAAGATAAAGAAAGGGAGAGAGATAGGGAGAGAGACAGAAAGGGAGTGAGTGGGAGGGAAGAGAGAGGAGACGGAAGAGATTAATGGAAAAGGCGTTTTCTTCTCACCAGTCCCCTTCAACACACGCCTGACTGTTAATTTAGTAAAGTTTGGATAGAAAATCGGCAAATCTCAGCCCAGGCACGTACACAGATGCACACAGTCGCGGGTCATGACTGGTGGAGAACCAAGGACAACAATGCCGACTGTGGCTGGCGGGGATCACTGTTTTACATGCATGGACGTAGTTTATGGATGAATTACGGACTGAGTCACAGTCAGAGTTACGGTTTGAGTCACGATTGAAGTCACGGTCGGAGTTACAAAGAGATTTCGCGGTGCTAAACGAGTCACAGTAGTCAGAGACCTTCTGCTTCTGGCACGTCAAGGTGGTGAGTTCCGGCGATGCCAGAACCAATCCCGGCAAGGGCCGGTGTTTCCCGGCAGTTTTTCAGCAGAGTGTTCGGTGCAATAAAACAAACACTGGCTTTTTACCGTCTCTCCCCTTTGTTTACAGGTGTCCGACCCAGGGTTGTATACGACTCAATCAATAGCAATCAATTCAATCACGACAAATTTGGGAAACCAATCAAATCAATCAAGTCAGAGCAGTTTTCGGGAATTGATTCAATCGACTCTAACGCGACAATGAAAGGAATCAATCAACTCAATCAAACGACTCAAACCAAGATATACATTAGGTTTTTTGCCCCACCAACTTGGAAAAGTGTCCATAGCAGTCTGGTGTACCTACCTACCTACCTACCTACAGAAGAAACAAAAATATTGTCATTTAAAATTATAAATTGCCATGCCATTCAAAGTTTCTATGTAATAAGGAAGGATGCCTAGTGATGGACAGGTGGATCATGATATTGAGGTTCAATGGGTAGAATTGGAGGCTGGAGCAGAAGTTTCATTTAATGGGTGCAAAATAACCCAGTAGTTGACTTCAACAAACGCCCCTTAACCCAAATCACCACCTTTCACCTAAAAGTTGTCAATTTAATTTTGGCCATATTCCAGCTAAGTCATCAGGCCATCTACCCCATGTAAAGCCCCCGTCTGTCTCTTATGTGAGTTATGCGGAGCTCTTCTGAATTGAACCCTGAACATAATGAACCTAGCTAGGTTACATGCCACACTGACACCATATTGATATGAAAGTGTTGAATATGTGCTATAAATTTGACAACTTCATTAGGTATGCTTTATGAAGACAGCAGGAAAGCAGGTAGGTACCTACTTACCTGCCTAGATGTGTCACTGGCTACCAACAGTACCAACGAAGGTAGATAGGTTATATGTGAAGAATTCAAAACATTTTATTGCAATACAATTTGAAACTGTTAGGACTGGGGGATAGGGATGAGGATTAAAAATATATTTAAAAGGAAATGGAGAGGACAGGGACTCTGGAACCACAGGATAAGTTAACAATGAAAAAATGAAAATAAGAAACAAATGAAAACGTTTTGCCAATAAGTATGCTAAGCTTTTAGAAATCCTTATTCTACGTCTTTTGATATTTTGGTAAGATGACGTCATTGATTATCATGTAGTACGGTAGATGATCATAAAATAAATCGGTTGTACAACACCAATTTCGTTTTAATTATTATTTTATTTGAAATAAAACCAGTTTATAATATTCGGTAAAATATTTTAAGGAAAATGAAATATATTAAATATGTTATGCTTAGGCTCTCAAGAGAAAAGGATCAACAAACGTTCTGCTGCAAATTAAACAATGCAGCAAATTAGCTATTAATTACGCAAACGTAATTAGCGAGACGAAAACGGCGCTTTTGTTTCAGTTATTTTTGTAGGGGTTTCAGATATTTTATAGAGTTCAGTGGGTTGTTTCTGAGGAGATGTGGAGATGTAAATTATTAATCAATCACATT